ACAAATCTCCTTAAACTGTTACTTATTGTTCCCAAGTGGGAGGGGGTCGTGAGGTAGTGTGGGTAGGGGGGCGCCATTATACGGAAATGTCTTCGAGAGTGTAATTGGTGGACGCTTAACGCGTTTTTCGATACGATTATTCATTGTGAGCCATTATCGAGTGTAAGTGATGTTATGAGCTTATGTAGGTATAGGTCATTTAAACAGGCTTTTACTATGCTAAGATTTGCAACGTTTAGCGTGTTTCGAGATATCAATTTTAAAGCCATTGTGGAAATTTGACATAAACCTACCTTAAATTAAAAACATAGATTTTACGTTTTTATGATATCACTCATTATCTTATATTAATGCAACTTATTAATGTTGTTGTTAATACACTAATAATAATAAACAATGGGTTAGCAAGAAGTATGAACACACCATTCTAGTTCTAGGTTGCAGTTCAAAATATGTTAGGTATTTATAATCAAATTAACTTTTATTTGAAGTAAAAAGTATACCGCACAAATTGTCCTTCAACTTTATTTATTTCTTTAGTAGTGGATGCGTAATAAATAAATTAATAACATTTATTTACCTATGAAACCGTAAAGACGGTATACAAAAATTATTCAATTACCCCAAAGCCGCGAGGTTTGTGTACAAGCTTATCCACTGCGCACCCGAATTTTTGCCAAATTAATCTTTCTTCAAACACTCGCAGTTCTTTGTTGAACAATCGACGAGAAGCAAATTTAATCTTGCTGAACCGATCCCATATGGAGAGGGGGGGAATATAAAAGAAATTAAGTCAAGTGCGAGTTGCGCAACCATTACGAGTGTTCTGTTGGGTATTTAGTTCCAATCTATCACATCTACCTACTGTTGGTTTATTTTCTTCAATTTGTTGTTTGTCAGCTATACAAATCGTTCGTGTTACTGTGATGGGTTCAGTAGAATATCACTACAATTGACTGCACTTACTGTTTATATGAAGTCGATACAACAAACCTATAATTTATTGCTATTTCTAAATATTATGGAAAAATAAATTCAGAATATAACTTTTTTGGGTTTTCTTTTTCACTTTAATTATAATTTTGTAATTTTAAAATGACAGGGTATTAAAAACTTACTATCAATATAAAATTAAATTAAATATAAGTTTATACTCTGTTTAAAATATCTTTAAAAAATTTTAGCAGCCCAACTCTAAAAGCGTTTAAAACCAATCGATTTCGAGCGCGAATGAGCAAGGCATTATAAGCTGAGTGTTTAAGAGTAAAAGGTTGTATCACGCCACTTACACAGCTGCGGTCCATTACACTCTTACGGGTTGTTCATAGCTCCACCATTTCACATGTCTTATTGAGCATTAAAAGTATAACATGCAGGTTATTAAAGAAGGAGAGGTTTTATAATGGTTTCTCATTAATTTCGATAAATAATCACTAATAAGATTCTCTTTTCAACGACAATTGTAATCCATCGAATATCCGATGAAGATCTTAAGATCTCGAAGGGAAATTTCTCATTAGACACATACTAACTATATTTTTATTTGGGAATTGGAATCTACTCCTCAAGTTATCATATAAAAATTTCATAAATCTGTTTGAAGTGTAAACTAATTGCTTAGTTAAATATTTGATAAATTTTGCATTCACTAGGCTATACTAAAAATTTTCTTATAATAATTAGAACAAATTTTCATCTTCATCGAGAGTTTAAATATTTAAAAATATTTCTTTTGTCTGTTTGGGTGGATTGCTGGAACATTGATGAAAATACTCTCTGTAGTAGCAAAAAGTAACAAATGCTTAAAAATTTCGACAGTCCTGTTAAGTTCTGGGTCCACCCAGCGGAATTGCGGAATTGCGGAAGATCATGGGTTCGAGTCCCATCTCAGAGTGCCAGGGACAAAGTTTATTTAAGCACTTTTCATTAAGAATATTGCATAATTAAAATTAAGTTACCTAATTAAAAATTAGGTAGACTAACCGTCATCCTAATATTTGTACTTGTATACGACAAAATAATTTCCTTTTTTTTCAATAAAGTCTGGTATACACCATTAGCACATGGACCGATGCAAGGTTACCACTAGCAACACACACTGGTCGAAGACTTTCGTTTTGACTTGAGACACTGTTTACGGACACGAAGATTATTCATAGTTTGCGTAGGATTCACCATCACTGTTGAAAGCCTTCATTGAACGGAATCATTTCTTGATTTATTCAAACTATACAATTAAAGTTTTCAGTTTAAATTAACGAACCATCCCGGTTTCGCTCTGGTGCAATATTAACAGTTTTATTTCAGGTAGTGTGTAAGTTCTATAAGTCCGCAAGGCGCAATATTTTTTTTTTGACATCTATCATAGGTTATGTATACATAAGCGGTATTCAAAACTGTTGATGATTTTTTTAAGAAGTATCATAAATCATCATTGGAAAAATTGAAGCAAAAACAGGGTAAAATGAGTTTTCTATATAAATCAATTACACGAATTTACACGAAAGCTAATAGACTGTACATCAGAACTTTGCTCATGAATTAGTTTTTGAGTTATCACATTCAGACATACACAAGTATCTAGAGAACTTATAAAGCTCCAGTAACATATAACCCACGCCGCGTGGAGCCACGCCGAGTGTGTGGCTATCCATTTCGCACGATACCTAAGCGGGAGGGCGCTAATATAATCACTCCCATAATAAATATAAGAAACCTCCGCTTATATATGAAAACATATTCATGGGTTGTTATTATTGTTGCCTTCGTATATTATTTCATACATTAGTATGAAATGGAAATATTGCCGTCGGGCGACAACGTAACATATAAATGTGTCTCTAATATTAAATGGATAAAACCGAAATTCTTATTTCGCGCGGCAACACAACACGGCACAATAATATGTATTCACCTTTAGGATTGTGTATTCAACACGACAAATCCATTTTCTACATCGACCCGACCGAGAATCGAACATGGGACCTCAGGGATAGCGATAGCTCGAAATCAGCGTGCAAACCACTCGGCTATGATGATCGATTTTGGATTCACAATGCTTCTTTGTAATTTTTGTAATTTTTTTTATATATTTATAATGTAATCCCATATATTTATAATAATATTATAAAGAGGAAAGATTTGATTATTTGTTTGTTTGCAACGAATAGGCTCTGAAACTACTGGACCGATTTTTCGGGTAGCTATATCGTACGGGGTGACATAGGCAATAATTTACACATGCGAAGTCTCGGGAAAACAGCTAGTAAATTATAAATATTTTATCTATTCAAAACTCGCAACTATTTATTTCCCTTTTGAGCGGGAGCTTTCAACTGGTTTTATACAAATTGGCTGCATGTGAAAAAGACATTATTAAACTCATTGGAAAAAGTATAAAATATGATGTTTCTAAAAATTTTGACAGCCCAAACGTGAATAATGAAATTATCTCGACGAAATAAATAACTTAACAACAAAGTTACTCTTATAATATCTATTTCTTCCATTTCTCAGTGTAGTTATATCTTTTTTTAGGGAAAACTGATAAATATGCGACTCACATTGCAGCCGATGTGGCACTTGAATAATATTCGTAAAAGTTTTAGAGTTCACAATTGAAATTAGCTTATGACGCGCATTTGCCGTTTTATGTCCTCGTCTATTTCATTGCGGACGCCATTAGATAGACAGAAACAATTGAGAGTTAAAAAAATATAATTTCAATCTTGAAGAAGAAATAAAATTCTCGTATAAATTTCATGTTTATTTTATAATGTTACTACATGATTACATTATTGCAAACCTCTACATACTTCTAGAATGTTATAATAAATAAATATTGTAAATACATATCCCACGCAAGTTGCCTGCATTTATCAGTACAATTTTTATTGTTTATAATAGGTATGATTCTTAAATGATGTAAAATTAATTAATAAATAAGTATATGGAGGCATCCTGTATAATTTCTCTACATTCTTAATTACACCTTAAAAATAATGAACTCCCATTTTTCATGTACAATATTTACAAATAAATGACCTTAGATATTTACATTTTGTTTTTAATTTTAAGTATCTTAAATTATTCATTGAATACTAAAATTTAAATAACTTCTAATTGTAAAATACAGTAAATGTATTATTTTTTTTACATTTATATTATGTGCAAATTAATTTTTAATAGATAAAAAAGATAGTTGCTTTTAACTTTTTTCTTACAACATAAATTTTAAATGTCTTAAACTAATTTTACAGTATATTTACAGTATTAAAAAGTACAATGAGATCTTTGAAAAAAAAGGAAAAAAATTACGGAAAATATACAACGACGATAATTAAGGCACACGTCTTAAATATAATACGCACACCAAATCTGTTTTAATGATTTATGTGTTATAATATTAAATACATTAAAAAAATGTTTACAACTTAATCCCAAATATATTAACTACAATCGGTGTAATGTAAATGAACAAATCTTCAAAAATATTTTTTAATATGATGCTACTTCTGGTCAATATCAAAAAAATATTTTATGTAGATTTTTGTTATCCAGAAAGATTTGCCGTTCTCTTAAAGTTAAACTTAAAAAAGGAATACAGTCATTTTTTCTATAGTTAAAAAGAGTAATGTCTGAGTAATAATTATGGGATTTTTTACTATATGCCTTATTTTGTACGAGTGCCTGATATTTCGGCACAGTTGCATGCGCCATGATCATGGATATCAAATTAAGGTTTAATGGTAAGAATCGCACTAATAACAATTATTATGTTTGTTAAAGTATAAAATGGTCATGCGTTCTTTGGTACCTCAAAAAATTACTTAATATAATATTCTATAAAGACATGTTACACAAAGTCGAATTCTTTTCCAAAATTTTTATTTATCATTAAAAAAACAATTATCTACCAGAAAAAGTCTTGATAACATTATCCATAAACGAAAATCGTGAAATTAATCTTTTCGATGTAATTTAATTATTCAATTCAATCATTACGTGTGAACTTTGCCATTGTTATGGAGTACCACTCGTTCTTGCATCAGGGCGTCGTGGGCCCGTAAGCGGAGAGCTTCCGCACTGGCCAGACGTGCGAGGGACGAGGAAGGTGATGGCGGGGAGGGAGGCGACGCAGGCGCCGGTGGCTCTGGCTCTGGCGGGCGGAGAGCCGGCGGGGGCAGTGCTAGCACATACCTAAGGGCAGAAGAATTTAAGATAACTCTGACGTCAGTAAAACATCATCAAATCTTAATAAAGTCTCCACTGCTTGGGCACCGACCTTTCCAGTAGACTACAATACATAAAGCGAACCCTGTGGCTGTCAACGAGTGCAGATGCTATCGAAGAACTGGTCACCCATTCCATAAAGGACTATGCGAAAGCTGCTTTAAAACTTAAACGCTAACAATTGAGCTCCTCAAATAATGATAATTTCAATATTAAAAGTAGATTTTACTTTAGTTTTCATTACAGTATTTACAGATTAGATTGTGCAAATATTTTTGTCATACAACGAACATAAAAACCGTTATATGCTATGTGACTTCTTTAACTAGCCATTATTATAAATTCATTTTTTAGATCTCATAAACGCCAGATTGTTGTTCAATTTTGTTAAAATATTTTACTACCCAAACATTAACATGTCACTAGAACTCTTCCTTTAAAGGATATAATATTTTAATTTACTACAGTATTACTGACCGGCAAAATTGGTATGAAATTCTAAGTGTTACCTGTGCAGGAGTGCCCTAAACGCTGCAGCCGGCTCAGCGTCGTGCCAGAGTGGCGCTGGCACACCGAGTGCTCCCAATCCGGCACCGAGCCCCAAAGCCCACCACTCGCCGGGGGGTGGACCACCACCACCCCATTCGCCAACCACTGCGACAAATGACAGAAAAAATAAAATAAATTTCATTTATCCTAAAAATATGTTAAACATATCTCTCGGATAATCAGTCTGAACTCTAACTAACGGCTCGATATATATTATTTGCCCTAGTTCAATCCTTTATTCCAGGTTATAACCAGAGGTCGGAATTAGGTAGAGTTATTTATGTACTTGCATCGAAATGTTGATATTAATGTGGACCTTCCCGGAATTTTTAATGGACAATCCCGTGTGGCCAACAATCTTACAACTAAATAATAATAACAACGTCAGAGATAGACAAATTAAACAAAGATAATTAATATAAAAATTTTATTAGTCGTATTGGTATTTTGCAACTTTGGACATCCGATGTCGTTGATGTAAGTTTGGCAACGTCGTGCGTGCAGTAGTTAAATTGTGTGAAAGTAAATAACTTTTTATTTAAAAAATCACGGGATTTTTTCTGCTCTTTAAAATTAATCTCGGGATTTGAGGCATATCCACTTTATTCTTTCGTTGTATGAAATCAGTGTAAGTACATGAATAACTCTACCTAATTCCGACCACTGGTTATAACAAACGAAAATCGAAAGCTATGCCATCAGACAGAACACAGAGAAGTCCAATTAATATTGTGAAATCTCTGTATATTAAAATAACATAAAAAAAGTAATTCTATCGTTAATCCATTAATATAAGCATCATCATACTCATTGATGAACAATTAAAAAGCTCTTCCAGCTGATCAACGGGATAACCAAGTACCTGCTGATATTTCAGGTACTTATTACGTTTGCTGCAAGAAAACTCATTTCCACCACTGCTTAGGTATGAATTATGTCTAGTTATTATTGTCTTTTTTAATATGTCAAATGGTGTATGTGTTCAATAAATATTCATTCATTCATTCATTCATTAATTCATTCATTTCATTCAATTACCTAATCGACCAAAAGGTATATCATTGTGAATACAAAATTCACTAATAGTCATTAAATTAATGGAAAAAAAAATAATTTCTGCACCTTATTTAGGGCCTGAATACTGCAAAATGTGAAATTAACTCAAACTCCTTTATTGCACTTTGAAATACATTTTATTTTATTGAACTTCTACGATGCGACAGTGCTCTACTCGATATTAAATTCGAGGCTTAATTTATTACAGAATAGCACTGTTTTGCAAACTAATTGTAAACAAAACTTTGAACATCTCTACATTGACTAGACCTGGACAAGAATCGAAGAGCACACGGAGTGCAACATCAAACGACATGTTAACCACTGTACTCGACTTAATAGTATGTTAACAAACCAATCTCTGTTAATGATAGTAAAACTCATGTCTCCCCAAGCAGGTGACAACTAATGTGATATTAATAACGTTTGTCCACAATATGATAGTGCACAACGATACTCATTGTCGCATGCCTGACACCTGCCGTAATGTGTCCGACACCTTTGGGTACCACAAATCAATGGGGGAAAATCACCACATCGATTATCAACATTCGCGTGACAATTTTTAAATTAAAACGTTTGGGCATTTCAAAATATTCTTTATAGCATTATTATTATTATATATATATATATATCAATTATAATAAAGCTGATAAACTACTATTTTGTTGGTAATAAACAAAATATTGACAATAAAAGAAGCGAAATAAAGGCACTTTTAAATGCATTATTTAGGTTTATTATATTAAAAATGGAACTCAGTAATTTATTTGTCAATGATGTTATTTTAGAGTAACAATGGTTTAAAAATGGTTTAAAAATCCATCTCAGAGTACCTGGGGCAATATGGATTTTTTAAACATTTTTCATCAATAATAAGTAAGCTTTTCAGTACCCAACTTAGTTAAATGTGTTATTTTTTATAGCACTGTTACAATGACGCGATAAGCAAATATTTATTTTTCATAACGCACATGTTTATTGACATCATAATAAGTCTTTTTGATGGATGTGCAACAAAACATTAATTAGAATACACACACTATCATAAATGATTGATTGAAGAAGCAGAACAATGTAACTACAATGTATGTACCTTTTCCGGAGTTATTTGCCAGTTATTCTTAGCGGTCAAGTAATACTTTTGTTATTGAAACCAAACTATCTGTTTTCCCTTGACTTCGCACATGTAAGCGTCTATGTTAACCACGTATGCTGTAGCTACCCTTAGGTGAAAGAATTTTTAAAAGCGGTCAAGTAAAGTAATAACATATACAATACATTTGTTTTCAAAAAGAAATTCAAAATGGAGATTAAATATAACTTGTATTTAAATAATATTCAATATTATTTAAATACAAACAAATACATAAGAACTAACTAAACTAAGCTAATAGTAATATATCATAAAATTCGAATCGAAAATTAAATAAAAAATAAGTCACAATAAGCGATATCGGTAGCTAGGGCTGTCACCGATTATCACCGGTTGTGATTATTGGTGCTAATTGTCATTTGTGATTAAACAAAATGATTAAATCTGTTCTTATTTTTGAAAATACAGTTAACTAATACCGTAAAATATTAATTTAAATATTTAAATTAAGTATATTTAAATTTAAATATTAATAAAATATAAATATTAATTTGTTTTTGGCAATCGCAATATACCAACTTGCAAATCTAAGCTATGTCATTTCGATATTTCGTTTCATTTTACTACTTTGACATATTTTTAGTGGATAATTTTGAGATTAATGACAAAGTTGGTAACACGCTTGCTTTTTCACGCATTTGCTCTCATTTTCAAAATCTTTATTCTTTATCATTCGTTAGTCGTGTCAAAGGACGTGTCAAAGTAGTAAAATAAATCTAAATAGATAGTCATAACATCGTTCTGATGTCGTATCTTTTACCTATAACCAAGGCTAGAGAGTTAGGCGGACACATCCCTGGAAATGTCAATTTTAAAAATTGTTTGAACTAAGAGTAGCAACTACCTTACAGGAAGACTAGTGCAACCTTTAGGAGTCTTTTTTTATTAAGCTAACACAACATCCGTTTTCAGAAAAGTGACATTATTTTATTTTTTAGTTCCGTTCTGTGAATAAATTAATTTGTTTATTTAAAAATGCAATATAATTACAATATTACAATTATTCTAAGAACATTGATAATTCAATAAAATAACAATAAAGTAATATTTTGTAAAAATACATATTTTAAGATAAAATCTTAAATTAAATTTAAATTCTTAACAAATCACAACAAAAATTGTAAGCCAATTTTTTTTTTTTATTTACATACTTAGAGTTCTATATAAATGCGTGATATTAAATGACTATTCTCGTACATTTTCATGTAACTCTACAAAACTTATTATTATTCACCCATCGAAAATAGTGACAAGCCTAAACCCACGGCACACATGTTACTTGAAGCGATACTGATCGAGTGAAAAACCGATAATTATTCGTAAACACCACCATTCCGGTTCTATCACGGTAAATAGCCGACAATAATCGGTATTTCGTATTTCATTACCGCCACCGGTATAGGGAATCGATACAAATAACGTATAATTTTGGATTAATGCCTTTCCCAAATAAACGTCCTTAATAACACGGTAAATGAATTTAAACATGTTAAAACTTTTTTGTGTCACCTTGATAATACTCTTTACTTTAACATTGTTTTGTATGTGGTCACTAATGACCCTTAATGGTTGTTTTATCTCTGTATATTTTTATTTTCTAGTAGCAGATAATAGGTGTATTAATGGTAATATAGGGTACCAAAATATCAACGATATAACGTAATAAAAAAGGTTATAAAAGTGTTTTTTTATTTGTTATGCTGGTTGTAATTTTTACAAAAAAAACATGTTTAAACGTTTATAAAGAAAATATGTAATGTTTGCTTATTAGTCCATTGAAAGTTACTTTTTAATGCTCAAATAAATCTATATAATTGAAACCAACTACTCTAACCAGTAAAAGAATCTAACTTCGTTCATGATTCAATGTCGTGGGGCCTTGGGGTCCCAAATCTCAAATGTACAATATTACAACACTATATTCCGCTTCGATTACTGCAATTTTATCGGATTGAAGAACTTTATTATAACTCCTGTATGACTAAAATTAATATACAGCGCGAAATCAGTCCCAAATGAGGAAAAATACGTACAGTCAACAGTACCTACTTCAGTTGATATAGAACTACATATCTCTGCAATCGAATTCGAATTCATAACTAATGTCTTGTATGTAGAAGCAGTAAGGGTTTTTGCTTTGTCGGTAACTTAGTGTGCTGTTGCATAAATATTCTTTTTATTGGTATTATTATAAACTTACCGTGGTCGTGATGCATGAAGGGAGCGTGGTCTCGGCCCAGAGCTTTTTCCCGTTTACGCCATTTTGCCCTTCTGTTCTGAAACCACACCTGTGGAACACGAACAAAGAGTTATTTTCCATTGTAACATTATTTTAGTTTATTAATTTATTTTTTTGTAAAAAGATTCAACATTTTCAAGTCAATACTTATTGCCGATTTTTATTATGGAAATTTATAATGTTATAATTAAGAAGAACTTTAAACAATAATAGAACCGACTTTAAACTTTAAGAAAGTGATAAACAATATTTAAGTCGGGCAGAGATCTTCTGTTGGTTATTAATTAAATGATTGGCTTTCGACTTCAATAGTCTTTTCTTAAATAAGTTGCTTTTGAGATAATTATTATTTATCACTTTCTAAAAGTTCTATTTTTTGAAAAAAGTTTTTGTTTCATGTTTTTGTGATACTGATATTTTGATATAATGGGTAACACTGAAAATATTAAACATAAGTATATATAAATAAAAATATTCAACATAGTGAAATTCTAGGAAAAGGAGATTTTTTTATTAGCTCAACATATTTTTTTCCTAATAATCATTACTCATATTAGAAAGACGAAAGATTTGATTGTTTGTTTGTTTGCTTAATAACAAACAGACATCACCGTCGAACATATAACCTCTACCTTTTGGATTTTGAAGTTCGTTAAAAATAAATATCATTACAGGTTTTTTCTCTATTGTGTACACTAAAGAGAACAAAATAAATAGGTCAAATTTATATGTTACGATGACAACGCGAGCCGACCTCGTGTACTTCATGCCACCTTTTAAACTGAATATGATAGACCATGTTACCCGTCTATAATGTAGTTTTTTTCTTATATCTGTCTAGTCAAAGTCAAAGTCATAATAATGTTTATTCAAAAAGACTTCTTAAAAGTACTTTTGAATCGTCCAAAATTTTTTCCCTACCGCTCGTTTAGGACGTCTTTTGGCTGATAAGAAGAACGAGCAAGAAACTCAGCAACCCTAATAGGAGTAAAGACATTTACATAAACCATGTCATTACCAGATCAATACATTATAAATAAAGAGAGAGAGAGAGTAATTTATAATTTTGAAATTTTGAGTCCATTAATTACAAACAAAAAATATATTTATTGTCCTCTCTATTGCTAATATTTATAAAGACATCTTTTATTACTTGTAAGAAAAAATATTAAAAAAGTCAAATCTCTTTTTTCTGAAAAAATAAAATAAAAAATAGAACCGACTTGTAACTTAAAAAAGTGAAAAATAATACTCGTAGTTATCTTAAAATAAATAATCATTAAGGATTATATTATAGACTATTATCAAAAGTGATATTATTTACTTGGCGATATCAATTGTCACTATGATTATTACTGTGACCAGAGCCAATCGTCCACAATTCGTCATTGGCATTATATTTTAAAATTAGAATTATTTAATGGGATAGAATCCCTTTATGCGAATCCGTCGAAACGTACACTCATTTGGCAATTATGAAATTACACCAATTTTTGACGTTCTACGTACAATTTCTTTTTATTAGCGCGAAACGAGACCTCGCCGCCTCAATTTATTTCTATTCTCAATTTTAAGAATTTCAAATTTGACTTTGTCCCGTCGGAGAAGAGTCGTTATTCGTGCGCTTAACTCATGGTGTGGAAACCACGTATGGAGTAATTGCTTTTCATTACGAGACTATTGTAGTCGAGAGGTGAGGGCCAGAGGGGGCGGTGGTGGGGGGGTGAGGGCAGAAATTGCCAACAATTACACAATAAAAAATTAAGCGTCCAGCCACAAGAATAGGCAAGCTACAGATGAAATTTTAAAGGTTTTAAATTTACAAAGTATTTGTTGTGTATTTACAATGGTGTAGTGTCCAGAAATTAAAGAAAAACATTACTTTGTACTACAAGAAAAGTCTCCCCATCTCTTTTTGAAATTTGAACAAATCATTGTGTGAGGTACCGAGCCAGCAAGCTATATTATATTAGCTTGCTGGCTGGCTCTACCGATAGAATACGTATTCCAAAATAAACTTAAATCGTTTTTATTGGAGAAGTGCTACTATTCAATCGATGAGTACTTAAATTAAAAAATAAATAGCTTGACTTTATTGTTTACCTATAATTATTTTGACATAAGCAACCTTGATATTAATAATTTTGTAATTTTGCATGTGGAATTTCATTTGAGTCTATATCGTTTTCTAATTTGATTACATGTTTTGTTGTGGTTGAGTATTATTGATCGTATATTATGATTTCGGATACATTGAATATTGTTCTATGTAATAAATGAAATGAAATAATAATATAAGAAAAATTAAAAGTGTACTAATGGAATTCATAAAAAAGAAGAGTTTTACTGAAATTCATTAATTATTATATTAAATTATTTTCAATGTGACTTGTAATTATTTTATTGAGATTTATTTTCATGGTTTTAATTTTTTTTTAATATTTTGCAATTATTTTGCTTATCATTAATTTATTTTTGTGTGTGTTCCATCATTTTAATATATGAAACGTAATTATAGAGATTAATTTTGGCCAATATTAGGTATGTTTTTATTATAATAGGTTTTAGTCTGACTACTTTTATACCTAATAAAATCTGTTTTTAATTCATGTACTTACATGACTGTAACCTGTTGCGTCTATATCTGTAATCTATAATATATTATAAATAGGAAAGATTTTATTGTTTGTTTGTTTGTAACGTACAGGCTCCGAAAACACTGAACCGATTTAAAAAATTCCTTCACTTATGGGAAGCTACATCATATGCGGTGAACATAGGCTATAATTTATCTAGTGTTGTAATATAGAAAGCTATAGAAAGCTAGTGTTGTAATAAAATAAATGTTCATAAATCAATTCTAAAATGTGCGTAATTCAAATAATTGAAAAAATGCCATTGTGCTATGTTGTGAACATTGAATATGAGTATCTCATGATCAATATCCACTGTAGATTGTAATTGGTATTACGATTAGTATTGAAGACGTACACACGTGAATATAAAATATTCATAAGATATACATATATAATAACACATCTGAAGCAAATGTTTTGTCATTTATAGACGAATAGCAATCTTTCCGACTTCGTATGAGTCAAATTCCTAGGGTAGTAAGCTCCCTGATGGCATGATTTTTTCTTATCTTCGACAATCAAAAGAAAGAAAGAAATATTATTGAATTTATTACTCTGTCTATTGATCAACAACAAGTGCAAAAAACAGTATCAAAATAAAATTAACAGACCCATGTTTTCTTTGTGTTTTAAAAGTTTATCGCATACAAACAAACATTTGTTTAATATGCATAGTTGAATAGAATGCAATAAAAACGAATTGTTTATGTAATGTATGCTGCTTCGTTAGTTATATTGTCATAAAAAAATATATAAAGAATACGATTTAATTACTGGCAACGACCACAGAGAAAATCGTATTTTGACGACAACCAATTAAAATAAAATAAAAAGAAATTCAATTAAAAATGGAGGTCGATCGTGCACTCGTCTCTAGTGCTCTCCAAACACAGTGCCAGTGTTGATTACAGAGTGCAATCACTTCATATTCCCACTGCGATCTCAAGATTACTCAAAAATTATGTGCATCATTAAAATATCGACCTTATAACTGTAAAAGTAAATTCAATTTCCCCAACACGGATTCAAGAGTTCGATTTCAAATGTAACGACGCGTCATTTGAATTTGAGTTTTAACGCTTCTCTTTCAAAGTGGTTATTGTCTGGTTGGAGCATTTGACGGCACGCACCATTTATTGAAAGGATTAAAAGAAATTTGCACGCGGTTGATAGTGATTTAAGAATAGTGTAAGAGCTCGCAACCGGTAGGGCTGGCTCTACTTCAAAAGGATTTGAGGTTTTAGAAGCGTTTCAGGTCATTTATTTATGTATTGTGTCGTGTTAAATGCCGATGAATGAATCATAAATTTCAATATTTTAAGGCAGCATACATTTTTCTAATTAATATTGTCTACTTATTATTCTAATGCTGAAAGAGCTCTGTAATACGGAAGTTAAGCAACTTTCTCAAAAGCCGTTCATAGGATGAGTGATCAAAAATTTATTACCTCGAGGATTGGTATTAATGACTGCAAATGCAGAAAGGACTTTCCGGAACACGGTGCAGCTCGAGATAATAATTATTTGGTTACCCATCCCGTTACTGACCATTGCGAAAGTTGCTTAATAACAAAGTTCCCGCGCCGCAGCGCTTATCCACTACGCCACCGAGCTACTCCCGGATCAATCTGCAGTCGTTAACTACCCCTAATCTTCACTAGGCCCCAGCCACGTGATAGGTTATGGCTGATTCTCCCATTTTGACTCGATTCAAGTCCATCTATAGGGTAGGCCTGTGTAATAGGCCGGTGAGCACTAGTCTCATAGCTTAGGAATAATAAGCCGATGACATTCTTTCTTACCTAATTATCCTCAATTTAAAGTACGTACATTTAGAATACATAAGTATATTTCATTTATAACAAAATAAACATAATTTATTTAATATAACTTCATACCAACTTTCGTCAACCCTTATAGATTTTTCGCATGACTTTATCTTTTATTGTAAAGCAATAAAGTTCTATTTGCTTTAGTTTTGATTCGACTCGCCAATTGAAATTCACGAGGCATGCGCCTAAGGGTACTTAACACTGACTTTTTATAAATTAATGACGTTGTTAGATTTTGGGGTTGAATTTCGATACAACTTTCAATTGGTATATTAACTTCTTACACATGATGAATATTATCTCTATTATAACTGGAATCAGTTATAATGTACTCAATACATACTGTATAGAACATTTTGAACCTCTTTTTGTGTTACAAGCTCGAGTGTGAAATTTTCCACAATTAAAATTTATATGGAGCAACAGCAGGATGCATTTTTTGTAATATTAATATAAGAAAAAAGAAAGGAGGACAATTATTTAAGTATTGTATACATTACACACAAACTACCATTACATTTGACGCTTATTTACAAAATATTTAACTATCAAACAAGACAAAGTCACGTGTACTAAATCACTATAAAAGAACCCGCTCCGGATTACAAATCCTTTTGAAGATCCTTTTGAAGCACTGACCTTTAACGACAGACCTGTAGATATTCTATCAGAGCGAATAAAAGTCATTTTACCACAGACATTAGACACAATTTCATCTGAAAAAATCGTGTCTTCTTAGAAAATCTAGATAACCACTGCAGAGGATCATCAAGCTGTATTCAGACTCAGATATTATGAGTGATTTAAATTTTCGTCTTGCTTAGACTTGGCTTAAAACATTTTAATATAAAACAAATACAGATCTATCTATATATCGTATGTTGAGAACGATAGTGACACAATGCAAAAATTGCGATTTTGAGTAATGAGCGTTTAAAGTTCAAGAAATTGTAGTCAGCCCCTCTAAACAACGTATCGTCACTATGCCACCTAGCAGTTTCTATGCTAACTACGTTTACAGGGATCTTTGCATTTTAAAGCTTATACTTAACACAGAAAAATGTTGCCAAAAGTAAAAAATACGTCGTTTTTGTTTAGTACCACATTTATTTATCTTGGGAATAAATTAGGGTAGTTGACTAAAGTAGAGACTATCAACATTAATTGATAATTTGATGTCATCATCAAAATTAGGTAATTATATTTTCTCATAAATTTATTATTATTAATGAACGAAGTGATCATATTTTTTTGTTGCGACCGCGTAACATATATTCAACGAATCATATCGAGATGATATGGTTTGGCAATTCTTCTCCAAAGAGTATTTATCATTATGTTTTCATATTTTGGTAGGTACTTACTAACAACTACTGCTGCTACTGTTACTGCCAATTTTATTTATTTAAACTTCTCGTTATATACTGAGGATGCTTAACAATATCAGTATTCTTATCCTAAGCTTGATCTTAATAAAAATTTACAAAAGCAGCTGGTAATTATTATCGATTATGAGTAGTTTTTTGAAATATTTTTCTATAAGATAATATAAAATTTACATTATAAATGCAAAATTTAACTAATATAATAATAACCCTTTGAATACTTTACATAATTAAAGCAAAAGAGTACACTTTTGCCATCTACATTCAGCGATGTTGAACATTGCTTTAATTAAGTGAGATTTAACTGTGTAGAGGTACTTGAAGAGTGCAATTTGGAAATAATTGTGGCCAAGGGGAGAGGCTAATCTGCCACTAGACATTTTTATCAACCACCTGATTGATGTTACGATGTTAAACTTTTAACTTCAAAGTATAAAATTTATGTTTTAACGCATTTAATTAACTTTGGTAATAATTCGTTAATATATTTGTAAACGGTTTATGGTAAATTTAAAATTTGATATTATATTTCTTTTTGTAATCCATCCAATGATGCTATGCTTACTGTATGCTCGTATGCTAACTGCTTCATCTTCATATCCTTCAATCTGAAAACATGCTCTCATGTGTACTTTTATGTACCAAGACAATTCTACGTTATTTCTATAGTAGAAACGTAATTATTGGACATTGTTCTATTATAGGAGAGTAGTATGCTTATATCCAAAGTTATCTCTATATCTGTGACTTTGATACTTGTTAGCCCTATAAAATGTGACATTTAAAAAAATAATTACTACTTCATAAAATTCATATGAAACTGGATGATTCACTTAAATACGAGAATATCTTCCGCTCAAACCATATAATCTAGGGCTGGCACAATGCGGTGCTAATTCGCGCGTCATTATGCACTCGGTAAGAGCAGCCCTAATGTTTGCCGCGTCCGAGATCTACGCAATAGGGCTGCCGCTAGTTAGGAATTACTTTTTTCATTTTATGTTTTAATAGTAAATGTTTGATATTTTCAGTACAAGAAATTGAAGCACTTAATACACTTGTGTTATGGACATCAGAAGCAATGAGTAGTTTATTAAACAACAAGTTTGTTTGTTAGTTTGTAAACTACAAGAAAACGATACTATTCGCTCAAACATAGCTGTCCTCAGAAAGACACTTTATGAATATTCTGGACTTGTTGTCCACTGACTGATAGGAATATATAACTGTAATTTAAACGTATTTAATATAGTTTTAAGAAGCACTTACTTTTCACAATAACACTATAATATAGGTAGGTAAATTTTATTACGTAATTTTACAACGAAGAATTAAATTACCTAGTAAATTTACAAAACATAATAAAAAAGATGTGGTAATTGAATTATTTCATTTAAATATAATTATTTAATCCCTTGTAATTAGTTACTAAAAAACGTCTTGAATAACTAATATATTTTTCCGTATCCACCAGCCCTAGGTGGTTGTACATTAAGGCCCCTAATTGTCGCCTATTTCAATCATAATTGTCTTCTATTACGGCATAATCCGCGTGAAGGAGTCATTTTTTACAAGCTCCAGTCATTTGCGACCCTAGAAGTCTAGATAATTAACATAATTTTTAACTTGAACACTGAAAAATATTAAAAATACTGTGGTTAGTTTCTATTTCGTTGTTTTTATATAAATATATGATTATAACTCATAAGAATTTGTTAATTCGTATGAGTTATAATGACATCTGAATTCCTATTCTATTTATCCTCGAATGAGAATTAGGAAAACTCCGTGAAGATTATCTACGCATCAGTGTCTGGTCTAATTCCGTCTAACTCAGTTGCATCATAAATAGATAATCTAAAAATGCGTTTTGTTGGATTGTATTAGCTTTTCATAAAATGCCGAAATTTTGTTTTCGGAGAAAAAGAATAATACTTAAGATGTCATGTTAATTTGTATGAGTATTACATGTAAGTGTTTAGATAAAAAAACCAGTGTAACAGTGTATAATGTAACATCGTAAGCAAGACAGAGAAGCGTCCAATTTACACCCATTGTGTCTAGACCGATATGCTAATCGCAACGTGAATGGATCTGATTTTAATTGCGGAAACCAGTGAAATTATTATTTTATTACGTTTGTTAAATTACCTTTAAATAAGTCTAATCCATTACTCATATGTATATCCATAAAATGTTTTCTTGCAAGTGTCAATTTTCCATTTAGCTAATAAACGTCAACAATATCTTCGGCATAACAAAAGGCCGAAATTCAAGTCTATTAATATTTGAGTTCAAAAATTGACTATGGAAAATTGCCCTTTTTAAAGTAACCTGGAGGTATAGGTACTCTTTTTACCGGAAATGATTTTTCGCATTGTTTCGAACTAAACAATAGGTAATATAACACAAAACTGACCTTAAACTATTAATTTTAAACTTTAATACACTGCATTCAGAGTTCGAATTGGCAGATATACCATTTGCGGTAGTCTGATGAATTAATAAAGTAAATATTTATTAATGAATAAAAAGTATGACAATTTTTAAAATAATTAACTTATGAATTCTCAATTATATATGTTTTAATTAAGACTTCATTCAATGATATTCCATTAACTCGTTCTACTTTGAACACGACTAATTAATATTTAAATCGAACATTAATAAGCTGCGACTAAATTTAATAAATTTAATAATAATTTAATATGTTACTAATGATGACATCACCGCGAAATGTTAGTTAATTGACATATATGTTAATTTATTGGTGTTTCATCAAATATATGCGGTTGGAAACATTATTGCAATACAAATTATGGACTGAGCGAATAAATTGTATTTGCACGTAGGTTTTAATGTTTACTTTTAATAAAATTTTGGAAAATTACTTATGAAACTAAAGTTTCTAATTTTTTAAGCTTGTGTTCATCCTAAAAATAATAAACTACACGATGGATTTTAATGAGGTTTTCATTAATATACAGTATGTTTAATATTATTAGTGCTATAATTATTAGTCTATCTCATAAATCAATGGTGACATATATATTAATATAATAATATTGTATTTCAGGTAGATAGTACAATGGTAACATACAAACAGTAGAGATTCTATTGAGATGCGCGTAATACGTAAACATTAGTAAAATTGGCCTACAAAAAAGGTGGTAAAAATTCGCAATTTAAGAAAACTTTATTCATCACCAGCCCTTTTACGTCCCCACTGCAGGGGCTCAGGCCTTCCTTATAGATGGTTAAGGAGGATGGGCCATGACCCTCCACGCTGGCCCAATGCGGATTGGAGGGTATTAACGACTGCAAATGCAGCCGGGACCAACGGCTTAACGTGCCTTCCGAAGCACGGAGTAGCTCAAGATAATAATTTTTTGGTCACCCATCCCGTGACCAACCCTTGCGAAAGTCGCTTAACGACTACGATCGCGGGTCGCGGCGCTTATCCACTACGCCACCGAGCTACACATACATTGGATCGCAAAGAAAACTTTATTAGTTTCTACTAATTAGATTCTCTTTCTATTTGATCGCATGTTCACTGAGCTTACCTGTACTCTTGCTTCGCTCAAATCGAGCCTCATAGCCAACTCCTCTCTAGTGAAGACATCGGGATACTGCGTCTTGTCGAACGCCCTCTCCAGCTCGTGCAGCTGGTAGGTAGTGAACGTTGTTCGGCTGCGGCGCACCTGCTTCAGACATGGGTTATGTTTCATTTGTCCGTATTCAATTAAATTGTAGATTGATTGTACTATAGTTTTTTGAAACCAGAGAGCTCGTCATTGTTTTTTAGGAAGAACAATTATAAAGTTTGAAGGACTAAGACAAGACGAAGCAACTCTTATTACGTAAGTCGTGGTGTGAAGCGTGATTTGACGAGATTAGCGTTCAGTAATATAATATACTCATATCATATCTCGCCGTGTATTATGAATGGTGGTTTTAAATACAAACTAACAGCATAAAATTATAGCCAAAGCTAGCACATAGTGCTATTTATAAGTTTATTAGTAAATTACCTTGCGTGGTCTTCCAGTGTCCAGTGCTTCCAAGTGATCGGAGTGGTCAGCGTGAGCATGGTCACTATGCTCACTGTGCTCGGTGTGGTCGGCATGCTCGTGCTCGTGCTCATGATCATGCTCATGTTCAGAATCCGAGTGACCGCCACTTTCGCTTTTTAACTCCACACGATCTGTCAAAAGTAAATAATATATTGCTCAGGAGGTTTATTATCTAATTTTAGAATCAATAGCAATCCCTTTAGCCTTGGCATTTTAATGATAATGAATTTCATCATAGAAATATTAGAATGGTATCTGCAATCTTTCGACCTGTTAAAAATAAGTTTTTATTATTTTTTTTGACCATTTTAATTACAATTCGTTTCATCGTTTCAAAAGAAATTACGACTTTAAAAGTCATGATGCCAAATTGAGTGGCAAAAGACAAATTCAAATACATTGGATCGCAAAGGGGACCCAGATAGACCGATGTAATATTAATTTATTAACATTATTACAACTCGATTCCCTCTAATAGACCATAGTTTTTTCCCACCCGTAATACATGACAAGTATCTGCTAATCCTCAGTACGGCAAACAAATGCGACAGAAGCGAATAATGCCAATAGTTACGCACAGATCAGTTTACTTGTATCTGCTACTGGGAACAGCGATTTTGGACAACCGTGTTTGAATAATATCCATCAAGTATTTTATAACGTTAGAACAACATAAATACGAGTACAATATACTAGTATGCGATGGCAGAGTTAATGATAACAAATAAATTTATGATTATGATAATAAACATCTAAGCTGTTCTCGTAAATCCTAACTCTTCTCAGGAGTCGAGTAATAATATTTTTTTCAAGTAATAATATTACAAAATACTTTAAAAGTGGCATTGTGGTTATTAATTCGAGAGGTGGAGGCCAGGAGTACCATAGAACGGGGTCTACCTAGTTTGGACTCCTGTCTTTTACATAAACTTGCTGTATTTTTATGTTGTACACATTTGTTGCTCAAAATGTAGAAGAAAATAAAATAAAGATTATTATTATTATAAAATTTACAGTTTATTATCGATTTAATGTTATCAAAAAATTATAATATAAAAAATTTTAAAAACTAACGTAACTTATTTACCAGCAATCCGAATATTATAGTTTTGTACCACAAAAATCATAATAACAGTAAGAATAATTATAACATTTTCATATGAATATTACATAATTGCTAGGTAAAAGCAAATATCAAACTCCGTATCATTCGTGATACGAAAATATCACATGACACAAAAACTTTCGCATCCCTAACTCCAAAATTCACCCCTCAAACTTTCAAGCAGCTAATTGTATATTACTAAGCGATTTACGATTCTAACACTCAAACACAAGGATTATTTTTCCCTAACATCCATTCAATAGGGCTGACCCCGGACTTACAAAATACTTTTATTGTTACGCACTTAACGTCATTTTATATTAGCACAGTATTTATTTACACTAATTCTATTTTAATTCTCTTTGTAATAATTGTTCGCGGATTTAATTGTGAATTAACAAAGAAAATCATTGATAGATGCTCGTACAACGAAAATATTTATTGTATTGCACTCATTCAATGTTTCACCCCTGACCTATTTTTTAAGCTTGAATATATTCTGAATAAGTTAACTTATTCGAATTAAATTTAAAAAAAAACTGATCTAAACATACGTACATCAATATTGAATATAATTGCTCTGTGTTAAAGATAGATAGATACTACAGGTATTCAAGTTCAAAAAACTGAACGAATGGGTTAACATTATTACTTTTGAGAAATATTTTATGCGCTATAGGTAATGGCGTTTAAGTAGATTACCATAATATTGATTGAAGAAGGACAGCATTTTTTCTTTTAATTTGGCCATTATACATTTTTTCTATCTATTTAATTAGTATATTAAATTCCTTATGTCGTCAAAAAAATCGATTACAAAATTACAACTTTAAGTAAAATACATGGAAAAGCGAGAACTTTATTTGTTTACTAACATAAGCAAACACTACAGGTAACAATCAAATTCATGTACATTTAATAAATAGTATTGTTGAGTCCTAGAATGTAACCCAAAATATATATGCACAGCGTAACATGCACAACAATACACAAACAAAGTCTGCGCAATGCAAACAAAAAAAAATATAATTGACATGACAACGACTTAATGCAAATGCAGTTCTCAAAGAAAATACAAACTTAAACAAATTTTATATTTAAATATTGAAGATTTAAATTAACAAATTTACTTTTAATTAATGTCATACTTGGGCAGCTAAACGAAGTCGAGGATCGCTTTGACGATAAATTTAAAGGCAACATATTTATTAACACATAAATCCAGATCTTTATGTTAAGTTGATAATTCAACATATAATCGACACATGCGAAGGATTGGGTTATAGTAAGAAGTATTATTTTTATATGTCTGTAATGCACACACTCTTTTCTGATGCCGAGACAGCAATCTAGCGTTGAAGTTTAATAAAGAAAGCCAGTATGGAGATCGAATCCCGAATGAATAATTTTATGCACACTAAATAAATAACGTTGCTTACGGCGCGAATCAAGGGAATTTACTCCAAAGTATTTCAATCTATCTGAGTAAGATTTTAATTTACGATTTATTCCCGATTTAAAAGCCGCTATTTTTAAACATTTTCTCTGTACTTTTTCTTTCTTTTTGGAGAGTGTTTGGTAATTAAGTGATCAGATGACGCATTTTGAGTATCAAAATAACTTCTTACGAGACTATTATATAAAAATATAAAGCTTTTGGAATCATTGAAGTGTTGGCTCGGGCGAGCCACGAAACCAAGAGTATTTAGTCCTATCATCGATAAAGTCTGTGTAGATAGAGTCGACCTGTCCACCATTAGCAAAAGCAGTAAAAATATGATTCTTATACTCCAACAAGTTAGTAACCGTAGATTTACGTTTTACAAATTCGTGCTGACTATCAGTTAATAAAAGCACAACAGGGCCATACATGTAATCATATATGACACTCTCGAAAAGTTTAGCCATACTAGACAGCACATTGATAGGTTTATAGTTGGTACAATCTGATCTGTTACCTGATTTAAAGACAGCAACTATATATGCCGTTTTCCAACACGTCGATAAAACACCCTGCTGAATAGACAAATTGAATTCAATTGTTAGAGGTAGACTTATTATTTCTGCACATTCTCTTAGAAATTTACATGGTATACCATCAGGGCCCGAACCTTCATTAACATCTAAAGCTTTTATCTTTCTCAATACTTTAGCTTTAGAAATAAATACGATAAACGGGGTTTATTTTCTCGCCCGTATAAATTAAAAATTGCATTAAAAAGCGAAAATCGTAGGCGGGATGATAAATAGCTGGCCTAACCCATATTTTGTATAATCTATATATATAAAAATGAATCGCAAAATGTGTTGGTAAGCGCATAACTCAACAACGCCTCGACCAATTTGGCCAAATCTTTTTTTAAAATGTTCGTTGAAGTTCAAGGATGGTTTTTACGGAGAAAAATTAGAATTATTGCTGGAAAAACCCTAAAAATAGCCCTTTTCTTTTTCCCATACAAATGATTTGTAACTAAAACGTAGTCAATTTGAGCTTTATTGCTATGGTATAAAGTTCATATTAAATTACAAGCACTCACTGTTGTCTAAGCAATGTAGGTGTGTTCCTAACGTCAAAGATCATATCTATCAAAACAATGTGCGTGTGTGCGTTGGAGCACAGAATACATAGTTGGAGGAGTTTAATGTCGCGTTCCGAAACTCGCGTTTCTTTTGTATTAGTTTCGGCACGCGAGATAAAATGCATCAGTTTCCACGTCATTACATGTATTGCCGGAACATTGATGAAAATACGCTCTGTAGTAGCAAAGCTGTTGGGTCCTAGATAGCTCATTGGTTAGAGCAGTCCCTGGATCGCGAATGGGTTCGAGTCCCATTCCGGGGTACAGGTAGATGGATTCTTCCAGCATTTTTCCTTGAGAATGTTTATATATTTTTTTAATTCGAATAGTTTACTTTTATAATGCTGTTGTGTGTAATGTGTTTTTATGATCATAAAAATCTCTTTTTTCTATATTTAATACTATTACTATTAATACATTGCAATAATAATTATGATTCACATGATTAACAATAAAGCGATTACTTACTTTTAAATCCTTATATATGTTTTATTTAATTATTTTTTATTCACAACGCCCTATCACCAGGGTGACGGTTCTGTTCAGGAGAATTTTTTTAAATACGTAGGCAAAAAAACTGCCACATTACAAATCTTTTTGACAGGACGAAGTCTGTCGGGTCAGCTAGTTGTTAATATACGTAAGTAAAAACCTAAAAATACGTAAAACCACTATTAACTTAATATAGATCAATGCTTTGTATGGAATGTATAGTATATAGTAATTAAATCTATTTTATACAGAGTTATTTCTAATAGTTGGAATGTATTATAAATAATGTAATATAGGGAACTGTAAGTTTACTTTTTGTTAATATTTTATTATTGTAAGAAGTATAAAACTGTTTGTTCCTCAATAATAATAAAATAAAATAAATACTTTTTATTATTCTCTTTCCGTGGATACACCAAATTAAAGTCACCCTTTCGGTCCTCATTCATCGTATATCAAAGAGCTGAGAGCAGCCAGGCGTGAGTTATGAATAGCGTTACTTCCAAATAATACCTACAGTTAACTGAATTTCAAAATTATAGAAATATTTTCATTAAAACAATTTTACCGATCTCATACTGATGAATATCTCATAATTAAAGAAACACTTTATTTGATTTACAGTATACGGATGCCTGAATTAACATATATTCTACTTTTTATTCCACTAAACAGGCCATAGTTAGTAGTTAACATTTTTGGAACCACGCTGCAAACTTAACTCTTGAGATAATCGCCCAACTCTATTTTAACTGGCCCATAGTATTGATCCAAAGTTAGTGTTACAAAACTAACTTCTTGCAACATGCTTTAGGCACTTTTCCCAAACATGATAAAACATACAAATTATTAACATATACAACCTGTTTATCAAACACTACAGCAATAATAAGCTTTAAAACAAACATCGAAAGTTCAAATCAGGTTTGGCAAATAAAATAAAAAATAATAACTC